TTCCCTGATCAGAAAGAAAGCCAGTACTATTGCCATTATAATTAGAAGGGTTTGAGATCTGAGTCTGCCATGTGATTGTCATTAGTTAGTCCCATTGATTTTTTAACTTTAATCCGCGTTAGACAGAGTGAGCAAGAAAATTTTAATTTGTGGCAGCCATTTCCCTTTCCATCCAGAGAAGAGAAGGTTTCTGTGTTGAATGTACAATACATTCTGGTGATTTACCTTTCTTTCAATAGTTCCGTGGCATGCCTACAGGCTGCATCTGCCTAATCTACAGAAGACTCCAAGGTAAACAAAAAAATTTATCAACCTTTTCCCATACAAGATTGTTTTGATTCGGCCAAGTGTTATCTCAGCAATGTCTCCCTAGCACTGGCACCTTAACTAATTTCCCATTATTTTTACATATAAAATCATACGACTAAAGTTTCTTAACCTTAAGATAATGCTCCATATTGATGCCATGCTATATTATATTTTGAGCAATGGTGATAAAATAAACAAGGGCACGAGTGGATTGAAACCTTTTCCTCATACCCAAGAAAAGGCAATACCTATTATTTAGTGTCTTCCCCATCTGTACTTGCACCTGTTTGTTTTTTTTCTCTCTCTTCTGTTTCATGCAGCAGCAATAATGGTGTGTGACATGTTTGCTCATGAAAATAAATACGTTTTTTTATGCTAATCGCCGCTGTAATCCTGGATATTAGATCGAGAAACACGGCACAGATGAAGCTTCTTAATTAATTGACATTAAGCTGTAATGTAGTTTACATTAGTAACAAACCAGACTGTGAAGCTTATGTGTGAAGTTCCTGCTATCTGCCTATCTGGTTGTGGTGGTTGTATATATTTCCACCAGGCACAAAAACCTTTTTCATTTTGAATTGAATGTGATGATGCCTTTTTCTCCAATCCCATGTCTCATTATGGCTCAACTTGCACAAATGGCATACACTTTTCAATAACCAACAATTTAAATAAGTTCCACACTCACCCCATGACTACATGAAAAAACAATATTTAAATATAACTTTGGCTGATATAAAGATCATATGGATTTTATGGATTTCAAAAAGATTGTATAGCAAGAAAGCAAGCAACTTCATATCTTAGACTTCACCTATTTTTAGCTCTCTTTTTTTTTCTTCTTCTCGAAAACATGTTTTTAATCTCTGTTTTGTTGAAAAAAAAAAAATAGCGTGAGATGCAGAGCTAGCCTGCCAAGCTATCCTGTTGTCCCCCTAACAGAAGGACAGCCAGCATATGCTCAGTGCTTAGACCATGTGAGAATGAAGTCCTCCTTTGAATAGCCTTAATTGATGTTGATTATTGATGATCTCTCTTGGGACAATTAGAATCTTGACAGCCTTGACATTTGATATAATTTGCTTTCAGAAATCCCATGTGATCTCAATCATAATTTTGAAAACTCCTATAAATTTACCTCTCAAGACTCCCAGTTGACAGAGCGGAAGTAACTTCTATGGTTGAAGTAGCTTTTTTGATGAAGGGGTGAAAAATTAAAGACTTATTCATCTTTGTAATTGGACTATAAGGAAGTTCTCCTTTCCATTAAATGTCTTAATTGATACATGTAGGATCATAATTGGAAAATTTATAAGGTAATCAAAAGAATGAGAGCTTGCAGGAATTCATGATCAGTATGATGAACGAACCTTGTGGGATCCGAAAAATAAATGATTATGAAGAGAGAGAAAAAGTATACACAATTTAAGCAAAAGAGTATTCATCATTTTGTATTACAAAAGACAATACATGTATATTCATTTATGTACATAAAACCTAGCATCTTAGGCAACAAAAATCTTGGATGTTCATGATACTGCAGCAAAATTTTCACAATTAGTTGCTCAGGGTGTTGAGGAGGGAAACTCTATTCTTGATTAAACGCCGGAAAAGACACTCGAGCCCTTCTTCTAGATCCTGACTGCACATTTCCAATTGTTGCAGCTCACTCTGCACGTTCTCACTGTCGACCATGCGGTCAGAGTTGCTTGTTTCTTGACACACAAGGGAGCTCAATGTAGCATCTACATCAGCAAATTCATTTATTTCTGTTTTGTCTTCCTCACAACCAACTTTTTTGGTGAGCATCAGCTTGGAAACAAAAGACCAGCCTCTCATCTTTGATGCTGACTTTGCTCCAGAGATGAAGGACAGAAGGGACTCAAACACTGTGAGAGAGACGGCTTCAACCTCTCTCAGCACACCAATCAAAGCCACAGTTACATTGTCTTTGTTGGTGGATGAGAAGGTGGATTTTTTCTGAGAAGTTCTTAAAGTCCCCAGGGCCTTGCAGACTGCCTTCTTGACCACCTTCCTTGAGACTAAGTATTTCCTAACCTCATTTGTGAACCCGCTTTTGCCTCCCCTTCTTCTGCGCATGATCGACTGGATTTCGCGTGCGCACTCCTTTGTGTGTATCAAGGCATCCTTGGCTGCTGTACACACATCCAAGAGCCTAAGAGAGCCATCCAAAAGCTCATCTACCCACTTCTCATTTCGCTCTCGGACAAAGGCTTCTTGGGTGAGGGGCAACTGAAACAACTCATTGAGACAGTTATGCAAATCCAAGAGCCCACTCAATTTCTGGCTTATGGAAGATGACGAATATGAGGATGAAGAGAAGGCATCAGAAGCTGCTATTCTCAACAAATGATCTTCACATTGCTGAAATAGAGGATGTGGTTTCGAAGGCAGGCTGATCGACCGAATATGGTAGTTGGATTTCGGGTTTAAAGCTGAGGCAGAAGCCATTTTTTTTTTCTTCTTTTCTAGGAAAAAAGAGAGATAGAGAGAGAGAGATGATGGCCTTGAAATATTGTTCAGCTTTGTTAGCAATTTCAAACTTGGGTTTTTGCTTTCCTTTCCTTCAACACCTACTTTACATGTATTTATATAATGGAGCAAAGCCTCAAAGAGGAGGAGACAGAGAGCATCTTATCTTATCATCACACACAAATCAATGGGAGTTTATAGCATGATTTGGATTTGGATCTAAGACACCATCTCAGCGATGTTCATGCAATGCTCCCTAACACCAACACAAACTCCAACTCATTACACAATTATTTTAGCTTGTCCATATCTCAATGTATCTCCAAAGCCTTTAACCATTGAGATTTGGTTCATGTGTTAGTGATGTGGCTGCACGAGGGGGGCTGGCTTAAATAATTCATGCAAACTCAAATTTGCATTGTAATGTGGTGTAGTCTTTAATTAATTTAATTTGCAGACAAATACAAGGATGAAGCCTCTTGGTTAGGCAAGCCCTGCCTCTCTGGAAGACAAGAGGAGGCTGCTTCACACTTGCACACGTGCATACTTTAATCCACAATGGTACCATAATGCCGTGTGAGATTAATTATAGGGCAACAGTTTACCTTAATTAACTAATTATAATCAGCTGTCAATGCTCAGTGTCACGTGTGACTTCCCTGATGATGCAGCAAAGCAATGCTTGTGTTTATCTGGGCTGCTCCGCTATCATCAATTTGTAGTATTTTATTCCCTCTTTTCATAAGGGTTTGTCACATATTTTCGAATATGACAAATGACTGCTTTTGGTAATCAACTTGATAATGCCCCATATTACTTCGTTAACATGAAATGCCTTAACAAGTAGAAAAGTCAAGTCAAGAGCTTGTGGAGTGGTTAAAAGTATTTACCTCAATTTTTATTTTTTGTTTTTTGTTTTTTTGTTTAATGGGCTTAGCCAAGTTGGTGAGAACGGATATGCTCTCCACTCAACAGCTCCCCACTCGACACCCGAGTTCGAATCCTCCACCCAGTAATTTAGTTTAGATTAAAGTTGAATATTTTTTTTCCAAAGATTAAAATTGAATATCGTTTGTATAAAAAAAAACTGTCAATTGTATAAGAAAATAAAATAAAAGTAATTTGACTAAGAAGGTGTAAAGTTAGCAAGGGTTTAGGGTATCAAAGATATAAATTCCAATTCCCAACTTGAGAAAACATACAGAAGTTCCAAAATGTGGTACGTACGTATTAATTTCTTGTGTTTTGATATTGTTGTAATTGGATGAAATTAGGTGTTATGGGTTAAAATTAATGAAAACCCAAATCGGATGATTTGCTTTTTTTTTTTCTTTTTTTTTCAATAGCCGGAAATATGTTGTTGTTTATTTGCCTCTCTCTCTCTCTCTCTCTCTCTCGTCATGTTGGGTTTTGATGAGTGCTTAATGATTTAAGTGGTCCCAATTTTGGGATGCACTTCCAGCACCTTAGCTGGTTATTGTATTCCAACTTCTTTTCTTGTTATTTGATCTCCTCATTATTTAACAAATTATCAGAAAGTTTCCAGCTTGCCATAACCCTATGTTGCGAGTTCCAACTTCCATTGCATAGCTGACATGTACAGGCAAACACAACACTCAATTATAACATTAATTTTGTTAAATCCATCAAATTTTGAGTGTTCTGAGGAAGCAAGACCTGCAAACGCCACAATCTTTTTGTCTTTGAATGATGCAAGGAAATAATTTAGGCTTGGAGGAGCAACTATGTCCCCTACTGTTGGAAAAAGACATGTGGAGGTTTAAATCTACCATGCACATTGTGTTAAACTTATCATTCTTAATTACTCTACCATGTGAATCTTAAGAATTGTTATCTGTGTTTAATCACAATTTGACATCGACAAGACGAATTAAATTACACGAAATTTGGCAGAAGCTAGCCTCTCATATTCTGATGCTTATGGTTGAAATCTAACTATTGAACAAAACGGGCACTTGGTTGAATTAGCTTTGATTTTTTCTATCCTGCATTGGTATTGACATTAAAAAAAAATGGAAAAAGCAAAGACAGAGAGCAGATATGTTGTGTCAAAGGGGCATATTAGTTTTGAATCTGAAATGAAAATAAGTATATCTCTCTTTAATATACAAGTATGTTTGTTTAATCTCTACAAAATTGGATGCCTATTCTATGCTGCATGAGGATTTTCATGCCTAATGGCTGAATATGTTGAGAAGGGAAACTCTGGTTTTGATTAAGCGCCTGAGCAGGCACTCAAGTCCTTCTTCAATGTCTTGAATGTTTGCCTCCAAATCCTGGAGCCAAATTTGCACATCCTCGACTTGTATTGTGTTATCAGATTTTTTTGACTTGTGACTAACAAGGGATTGCAATGCAGCATCCACCTTCTCAAGTTCGTTTGTATTCGCAACTTCCTCGCCCTTGCAAGCTATTCTTTTCGGCTGCACCAGCTTGGAAACAAATGCCCAACTGCTTGATTTTGATTTTGAACCAGCTATAAAGGACAACAAGGATTCAAACACAGCAATAGTGACCGCATCTAACTCTTTCAACATGTTGACCACAGCAGGTGTCTCGTGGTTTTTGTCTGTGCAGTTACTTTCCCTGACCTTTAATGCATTGTTCATGGCCTTCTTGACATCCTTCCTAGAGGTAAGGTATTTTCTTACCTCACTTATGAAGCTCATGTCACCTCCTCGTCTTCTTCGCATAATTGATTGAAGTTCATGCGTGCATTCCTTTGTTTGCAAAAGGGCATCCTTAATGATGCCACACACATCCAGGAGCCTCAAAGATCCATCTAGTAGTTCATTGATCCATTTGTCTCCACACTCCTGTGCCAAGGCTTGTTGAGTGAGTGGCAAAAGGAGAAAATTTTCAACACATTCATGCAAATCCTGAAGTCTAGTTAGTTTTTGACTTATGGATGAGAATGATGAAGAACAGACAGTTTCTGAAGCCTTTAATCTGCACAAGTTCTCCTCAAATTCTGCAACAAAAGGGTGTGAAGTTGAAGGCAAGCTGTTAGAGCGAGCATGGATATGTGATTTTGAGTTGAAAGGAGAGGCAGCCATTTCTTCTATGGGAAAAGAGAAGGTGAGATGTACTTGCAATTGAAAGTTCAATTAGGTGCATAAGTCTGCCTTCTTTCTCTCTGTCATCTGCTCAATATATACATGGTATGGGAGACAAGAGCAACTCAGCTGCCTAACAACTCAATGAGTGGCAGTGCGATTTCGATCTGGATCCAAAAATTATATGAACGATGTTTATGCACTGTCTCCACACCATCTTATCACCCACCGATCATCCAACCCTATTTTAAATCTAATATAAGATAAGCATCTTCAAAAGAGTAACAGTATCTGATAAACTACACAACAAACCATAGAAATTAGAATATGTAGCACACGAGTGGTATTGCATCATATTCAATATAAATAAAAGTAAGGCAATAACTCTTCTATCCAGCATTCCAGCTCTACTTGCCTGCCTCCATGGAGACGAGTTCTCCATAACTCTGCACTGTAAATATATAAATTCAATGGAAATTATCACCTAACACAATATTTTACATTAAGAAAATCAATTAAAATCATGTGCTCACATATTGTCTGTGCCAGAGACTCAGAACCTTGTTACATGCATGCATTTGAATTTTCCTGTGCTTTTCTTCATGAAATGCATTTATATATGTTATATTATAATATTGCAGGTCCATTTCATAGCTCGCATGTAAATGCATACACAAAAATTAATTATATTGCTAATTGATTTATTTATCAAATTGTGGGTGTTCACAGAGGAGGCAAGATCTGCATTTGCCACGTCTCTGTCTTTCTCAAGAAAATCGAGGCTCATATTATATGGGGCTGTTACCAAAACGAAAAGCAAACATGTGGAGATTCAAATCTGCAACTACATGTCAGTCTTGATATCAACGAAATTGTTTATTCTGTTTGATGGGTTATTTATGAATGGGAAATTGAATTAACTTATTGTTTAATCTGTCATCAGGATTGCTCAATTAAAAAAGTAGATGGACAAAGCAAGACATAGAACAGATATGTTTTGTGTCAAAGGAGTACATTTGTTTTGGATGTGATGAGAAAATACACATAGATCTCTTTCATATACTAGTATGTATGTTCAGTGTCTACAAAATTGGATGATTTTCATCCCTAATGGCTGCAAATGTTCAGAAGAGAGACTCTGGCTTTGATCAAGCGCCTGAATAGGCACTCAAGTCCTTATTCTATATCGTGAATGTTTGCCTCCAAATCCTGGAGTCAAATTTGCACATTCTCGACTTGCATTGCATAATTAGATTTCTTAGACTTGTGAGGAATAAGGGCATTCAATGCAGCATCCACCTTCTCAAGTTCATTTGTAGAGGCAAGATATTTTCTAACCTCACTCATGAAGCTCTTGTCACCTCCTTGTCTTCTGCGCATAATGGATTGAAGTTCATGTGTGCACTCCTTTGTTTGCAAAAGAGCACCCTTAATGATGCCACACACATCCAGGAGCCTCAAAGATCCATCTAGTAGTTCATTGATCCATTTGTGATTTGTCTCCACACACCTGGGATAAGGTTTGCTGAGAGTGTGGCAATAGAAGAAACTTCTCAACACAATCATGCAAATCTTGGAAAAGAGAAAGGTCTTGTACTTTGCAGTTGAATGTTCAATTTGGTGTTTCAGTTTGCTTTCCTTCCCTTTGGCATCTGCTCAATATATATCACGCTATTCGGGAGACAAGAACAACTCATCCTCTTCACACCTGAATCAGTCACAACGTGATTTCGATCTGGATTCAAAAACTATATTAGCGATGTTTATGCATTGTCTCCCCACCACCGGATCACAAACCCCATCAGCACCTATATTTTACTTACAATATATAGCATGAGTATCTTCAATTCGTTAACAAGAGTTGTGCATAACGTCATTACAATAGACAGAGGAACATCCCCTTGAGCAATTAAGGTCACCTGAAAGGCAATTTCATAAAAAGCATTGAATGGAGTTGAATAAATCGCCTAGGCGGGCGCTAGGCGGGGGCTAGGCGGGCTAGACTGGCTAGGCTGGGGCTAGGCGGGCTAGGCGGGGACTAGGCAGGCGCTAGGTGGGGGTTAGGCTGGCTAGGCTCTCTAGGCGGGGGCTGGAGAGAGAGAGAGAGAGAGAGAGAGAAACGAGGACGACGATGGTGCTATGAGGCGAGAGAGAGAAAGAAACGAGGATGATTAGGGTTTAGAAAAGGGCCGCGCGGCTATACTATTTATAAAAATAAAAATAAAAGAAGACCTTAGTAAAATTTTTGGACCATTTGGACTGTGTGATTTCAGGTAGAAAAATTTGGCACTGTGAAACTACGGTTTGGTGGTGTGGGAAAGCCAAGACAAGAGTAGATGATGGTTTCGGAAAAGGAAGACAGCAATTTGAAGAAATAGAGAAGCATGTTTTCCACTGAGAGTTTAAAAGGTTACATTTTGAAACCTTGCATCAATTAAAGACTTTGGCCCTAGAATAAGAGAAGATCGATAATGATTGTGCAAGAGTCGCAGTAAATAGAAAGGTTATACAAATAAACCTGACAGCAACAGCAAACGCAAACCTTGTTCTTAATTTCCTTTGCAGAATCAGTTACATAAATGGCAGAATTTGGATCACTGGGTTAGTGAGGATAAATAAACAAAACAGTACCCGCATTTTCTCTTGCAGCCTTTTGGGATCGAACTGCTCCCCTTCTGAGAAAATATCTAGTGGAGCCATTGATGCCATGGCTAGCTGGCCAATATATTCCTCAAAAAGCTCACTACCAAAAAGCACAGCGAAGATTGCTGCAGGATCAATAATTGAGTCGCTCAAAGAAAGGGAACCATTCAAAAAATGTCAGAAACACGCAACTATGTGTTAAGCTAACACACACATACACTGTGACAAATGCAGGCAACCTATGAGGTGCGTGTCAGACACCTTTCAATCTTAGAATTCATAAATTCACAGATTAAGAGCAAGAAACTAACGTTGAGATCCCTGATTTTCCAAAAGCATCGTATGCTTGGTGTTGGCCTGAGTCACTTAAGACTTGGCAAGCTTCTCCCAAAACCTGAATCCAGGGGTACTGCCCCAAGAGTTGTGCATACCGTCATTACAATAGACAGAGGAACATCCCCTTGAGCAATTAAGGTCACCTGAAAAGCTATTTCATACAAAGCATAGAATGGAGTTAAATAAATGGCCTAGGCGGGCTAGGCGGGGGCTGGGCGGGGGCTGGGCGGGCTAGGCGGTATAGGTGGTCTTGGCGGGCTAGGCGGGCGCTGGAGAGAGAAAGAAAGAGAGAAACGAGGATGACGACGGAGTTATGTTTAGGGTTTAGAAAAGGGCCGAACGGCTATACTATTTTTTATAATAAAAAACCGTAGTATAGGCGTGCGGCTATACGATTTATTGAAAAAAAAACCTTCCATTTGCATTAATTTATACTTTATAGATATTAATTTGCTAGTTTAGATATATATGCTTTATAGATTTAAATTTTTGAATATATATTATTTTTATTGAATAGTATGTGAAAACTAGGTGTATAATACGTGAATTTTATGTGTATTATTGAAAATTTTGTGAAAAACAAGTGTATTAAACATGAAAAATACATACGTACATGTAAAATACAAGTATTAAACATGAAAATGCTAAATTTTTTATACGGCTAATAACTTTGAAAAGGTAAAAACTCAAAAGGGTACAATAGTGACTCATGTAAAGGCCTAATAGTAATGGAAAATACTCTAAGTTATCGATAAACAAAAGTTGTGGAAAAAAGATAATAGTATCCATGTAGTGAAAAATCCCGAGTATAGCCGATCGGCTATACTATTTTCAGTAGAAAAATTCAAATCTGGCTCAAAACTAAGCACCACAAGATGTGCTAGAGTAAAATAGGATGTGTGACCTCAAACGACATTGTTTTAGACTATTAGAAAAGGCTTTTATGTACTGTCACTTAACATCAACTGTAAGAGACTTAATGGAGCCAAAAGGATACATATCTCGAAGGAAACCCAAACTGCTGCTGCCCATTGTATTCATACTCACAACAGATATTGCCGAGTTAGGGAAAACTTCGAAAGGGTGCTATAGTTGTCACTTAACCTCAACTGTATGAGTCTCCTTAGAGTCAGAAGGATCTACACATATCTCCAAAAGAATGCCATAATGCTTCCCATTATATTCATAATCACAACAAACAATGCTGAGGGTAATGCAACCATCGGCGAGGTGAAATGAGAAGTGGCCAAAACCACACCCAAAGAAGAATTTTGCATACCAACCTGCGAGTGTCAAACATGTAAATGAATGATTAGTGTTGCATGCCCACCAAAATTTCAATCTGAGCATAAAACAATGAAGATCTTCCATGGACTTACAATAAAGTTTAAGAAGAGAATTTTTATATCTTTATTACCAATTTGACCAAAGCTGAAACAAAACTGGAACACAAGGATTAACTGTAACACCCCGACCCCGTTTATTTTCCTATTTAATCTAATTAAGGGAAAATATTTAATTATTCCTGGGTTAAGGGTGATTTTGGTCACTTTCTTAGCCGGGAAGATTTTGGGACCGTGAGTGGTGTGGTTGCGTAGGTGGTACTGAGACGAAACCGTAGACAGGCGGTAGGCCTGAATCGGAGATTTAACGAAGCTTTGGCGATCAAAACTTGTTCGGTGGCAGAACCGTAATTATTTCGAAGAGTTTGGTAAAAATCAGATTTTCAGTTTTTACCCCTCACTTTCTCTCTCTTCCTCCCGCGTACACTCTCTCTCTCTCTCTCCCGTTTCTCTCTCCCCGACTCTCTCTTTCTCTCTCTTCGATTCTCTCAGCACCGGCAACGGGAAGGGCCGGCACTGGTCCCATTCGACTCGTCTCGAAGCCCCGATCAAGACCCACCCAATTTCCCCGCCGCAAACCTCGAATTCGGAGGTCAGTTCCGCCTGGTT